TTTATACTATTATTTTCTTCAGGGCGTGGGTGTGAGTGTGAGAGAAAAGAAGATCTACAACCACATCACAGTCACACTCTTTTTCATCTTTTATAACAGTTGCAGTACAGGGTGGTCCAAAAGTTGCCTGACGGTCTTTGATTGTGCATAACTTTTTGACAGAAATAACATAAAGAGTTGCAGCTTTCACCATTAAAAAGCGACTATATCACTGCGTCGTTACATATACTATGCAACAACATTTGTTGATAAACTAATGGTCAATCGATGATCTTCGAAAACAACACTTGTAACTTGATGACAATAACAAAGAAATTTAATTCGAAAAAATACGCTAGAACCACATACTCACAATTCACATCAACAGTATCACTTGATATTTCATCTTGTTCCGTTCGATAGTTCTAGGTAGAACAACAGCCTGTATTGCTGTGAATGTAATTTAGATTAGCAGCAAACGTTGTTGAATAATATATGTAACGACGTAGTGATACAGCCGCAACTCTTTATATTGTTTCTGTCAAAAGTTATTCGTAATCAAAGACCATCGGATAACTTTTCGGCCACCCTATCTATATATATATCAGAGGTGTCCATCGCGGCTCAAAATCTGCCACTGCCGCGATAATTTTCGAGAAACTCTTCAAAAATATTTTTTGTCACTATGTTAAATGAGCCCAATTAGATTGAATATACCAGATTCACCATGATTTCGACCGTTGGACTTGTAAAAACTCTAATCAGGTGCAGTTTCGTGCAATTTTACAAATCTTTCTAAAGAAAAGAAAATACTGCTGCCATCGCAGTAGCGAAGTAGCAGGCTGTAGGTGGGTTTGAGTATGATTCATGTCTTCTCTTAGTCCATACTCACACGCCATACCCCACCCATGCCAACACCCGCAGCTTTCTGTGTAGTTTTAATGATTACTATTGTATGTCTTGTGAAATACAGGAATTTTAGAAAACAATTATTTATTTATTTTATTGTAAATTCTAGATTTGTAAATTATTGAGAAGACGTTGAAATTGAAGTAAACAGTTTAAATAGCGTTTCCCTAATTTTGGGATTGATCAGCAGCAGAGAATTAAAACGAATTGAATTTTCAACGCCGCTTAAAATAGGTTGAGAACTGTACTTGTCACGGAACTGTGCTACTCAAAAGGTTTTTCCATTATTCTCTATATCTTCTCTTTGTTTTCAGCCACAGATACAGTCACATTCAGACTCTACACCCATACCCTACATTTGTTTTCTTTTTTGTTCAACAATGAAGTAACGATTTCATAATGTGTTCATTATCATTTTCTTTGTCTTTAATCTTAATAAGCTGAATAGAATACATACAAAAGAGCTAATTAGTATTTTTGTTTACTATCTCTTAAAAATCGTTCTTTTTTAATCATTATTGACATTTTTTTATTTTCATGTTTATGCAATAAAAAAATACTTAAATAAAGAAAAAAAATAAATAGGTCACTGTAGACAACAATTTTGTTGTGAACTTGCTCGTTGTTTTCTTTCCGTATTAATATTAGATTCATTCAACATTGTATTATCAAGTGCAGTATCTTCTTTGATCTTTTCCATATCAATATCCAATTGTTGAGCTTCGTGTTTACTTTTACACATTTCAGCTTTATCAAGATAGAATGAAATCTAAATAAGAAGAAAGTTTTTTTTAACGATCATATAAAATAAAATCGTATTTACCACATCTCGAAGAATTTTACTTTTTACAGGATCTGTTTCAGCTGTATATAGAAAAAAACAAAAACAAATTTCATATACAAGATAAGATGTGTTAACTTACTTCGAGCAGCACGAAGCATTACAGTCAAGCCTATTTGATATTCTTCAAAACCTTGACCAAATCTGGAGACATTCATCTATGACAAAGAAAAACAAAGTCTTAAAATTCTTATAAAAAAACGAGGTGTTTTATGCTTACTAATTGATTTCCATTCAAACAATGTTGATAAGCTTCAGAAAGTTCTTTATTATTTTTTAAATCGACTGTAAAAGAAACAGTTCATCGAATTCTGCATAAAAAATTGAGAGAAAAGGAAAAGTAAAACTTACAATTTTCAGTTGAAGATGAAAGTGTCGTTGATGGCGCTCCAGCACTGAGATCCTTCGGTAACATTCGTTTTTTAAGTGTTTCAGCAGCAACTGCACCTTCTTTTACTCTCATTCTTAACATTCGTCTTCGATCAGGATCTTCATCAACTATCAAACAAAAAAAAACACAGAGTATAATGTGAAACTTGCATTTTCTCTTTAGCATAATTATACTAATACACAATATGTACAATTAAAAATCTCTAGAAGACTGCAATTTCAATTTGTCTTATTGATTTGTGTGTTTCAAGTCGAAACTCTTTTTTTTTGCTTGTTCTCTATGTTTTGTGTCTTGTTGTGTTTTGCTCGTTATTTTTCTTAGTTCAATGGACTTCGGACAATATTCGCAATAGCTGGAGGGTGTGGATAAATGTCTTATCTTTATCTTTATTCACACCTTAGAAATGCTATTGTCTTGATTGCTTACTGAAATTACTTAATCAGTTCATGTTTTCTATGTTAATGATATAATGACTGTGCCAAATCAATGCTACACTATCTATCATTCTTGATATCTTGAATATAAATTTTTTATCTGAACGAAAATCAGAAAGTACACTATTTAGTCCACAAAATCATTGTTTACCTTTAATAATAGCCACATATTCATCCAATGCTCTCACTCGATAGTCAAGAGCTTTTTTAATATCACCTGATTGTTCACAAGTAATTGATCTTTGATACAAATCATCCTATTTGAATTGAAAAACAAAAGTTAAGAATTAAGAACGAAAGGAGAAAGAGAAGATTAAGAATATTTACTGCACGAACTATTTGAGAAGATAAATCAATAAAAATAAATGGATGTTGGAAAAAATCTCTAAAACTAATTCGTCTATTTGGGTCACGTTGTAATAGACCTTCAAGTAAATTACGACATTCAGATGAAATTCGAGCATAATTTGGAATCTATTTTAAAATAAAGAACTTTATTATATTACAGAAATCGTTTCAGAAATATATTATTCTCATACTTCAATTGGAACATTTGATTTAATTTCTTCAATAAGTTCATCAACACATGAAAATATAAATGGTGGTCGACCAAAAAGACATTCTATTAACATTTAAAAAAATACTATCCTATTGCTATCATCGATAGTGTAAATTTACCGTAAAGTATAACTCCCATTGACCAAAGATCAACACGATTATCATATGAATGTAAAGAAAGTATTTCTGGAGCCATATATAATAAAGTTCCACGAACACTTCGACTACCACGTTTTCCAATATGTTGTGCAACACCAAAATCTATAAAATAGATTATATTAATAAGTAACATGTAAGTTTAAATCATACCAGCTACTTTTAATATTGGTTTATCAATGGATGTTAAAAGAATATTTTCTGGTTTTAAATCCATATGACTAATTCTTTTCTCATTAAGAAATTTTAATACTCGAGCTTTGAAGAAATAAAACAAACAAAGAAAAACAAATGAATGAATATTTATTCATAACACTTACATATTCTTACCAATTTGTTGTACAAATGGTCGGGCACGAGCTTCAGATAGTTGTTGTCTAGAACGTATAAACATTGACATATCACCACCAGCACAATATTCCATTACAATATAGATATAATTTTCATCCCACTTTGAAAAATCAAAAAGAAAATATCAGAAAAATGAAAAGAAAAATGATAATTCTTTTATTATCTACCTGAAAATCATACATTTCAACAATATTTTCATGTTTAATATGTTTAAGTATTTTTATTTCATTGATAAGTAAATCTTGAGTAGTTTTTGTTAGAGCTTTACGATTGATACATTTAATAGCAACGAAATTAGGACGAGCACATGAAGCTGAACTTGGCCGAGATTGAGAAGTCTTCAATAGTCAATAGAAAACAAAAACAAATATTATTAGTATATGACATGGATGAACAAAAAATATTCTATTTTTTTCTTATTAGGATTTTCATTATTACTGATCAAAGTTAGAACCCGCCCGGTCGGACTCGGACTCGACTAAGTCTTATTCGAAAAGTAGTAGAAGGATATGAAGAATACCTCTATCTTTCACATGTCGAACAACGTAACTACTTAGCCTCGACGACCTCGACAAGTAACAGCAAATTATGACTTGATTACTATAAGATCATCGTCAAGATTATCTGAGAAATATGTAGTGTATCAGTCTCAGAATATAAATAATGGGTGTGGGTGTGGGTAGTTTTCAAACTTTTTTTTTTAAATAGTCGATGAAAGTTACGTAGACTCTTGTTAAAACCATGTTTCTATTTTGAGACCTGATGAGATTCGAAATATATACATAGGACAATAATAGTCGTCATTCATGTTGTCTCTCTCTTCTTGTTGTGTGTACATGTATTTATGTTTTCTTTCATCAACAAATACAAAATCATCGATTACTTTTTCTAATTCTTTTCAATCATCAATTTCTGTTACCACCCGCTCGCTGATTATCTACTGATATACATGTGGGTGCAAGAAAAGCAAACACGCAGACTGACACACATACACAAACAACTGTTGAATTTTTGCCAATGTCTAAAGAAATTGACATACCGTTATCAATCTTGCTTTATATACAGTTCCTATAAATATAAATAAATTCCATTGAAATTAAATAGTATTCAAAAATTTTCTTCTACCATATGATCCAGCGCCTAGTTTTTCTCCAAATGCATAACCAGGCAAACTAGGAATCGGTGTTGCTTCCTGTCGTGCAGCCATTATGTAGTCAAAAATAAAAAGAAAACTTTCATCTAAAACAATCAAACATAAATGCATGGGCTAGTTTTTTGAAGATAGATGCATAGAATTACTAGATCAAAAACTAAAATCAATACCAATCAATTAAAAAATAAAACACGAAAAGAAACAATCACTCGAATATAAATTGCATGATTATTTTGTTCCCTTGACTATTTTATCTTCTAGTTTAGCATAACGAATAAGCATTTCATCATATACTGCTGTGTATTCCTGACGAGGTTCAGAAGCAATAAGGCATTCAATAGTTGAAGTTGTTGAATTCGGCTTTTTATTAATAACATCAATAGCACGTAAAGCACCACCAAGAGCACCAGAATTAGGTGCTAACGCAGCATAAACTGGTTTACCAAAGATATCCGCTAAAATTTGTACTAGATCAACATTAACAGATGCACCACCTACAAAAATGCAAATCTTTTTGTTTTTTTTTTCTAATATTTCATTAAAATATTCTAACCAGTAATCACAATTCGATCAACATTATTAGTTAAATCTATATTAGCTCTTTGTAAATAAAGACGTTTTGCAAGAAATTGTCCTTCAAGTACAGCTCTTGCTTTATATGTAGCTTCAAGATCATCAATTTGTTGATCATCAGCATTAAAATAATATCTTCCTTGTATATTTTGTGGTAAAATTTCATGATCATCATAGAAAAATCCAATAAAACCTTGATTTGATGGTGCAGTTTTAGAAAGTAATTCACTCATTTCTTTCCAATCGTTTGAAGTAATTTCTTCACGTACACCTAAAGAAAAAAATATTTATTATCTTATGTAAAAAGAAAACGCTTTTTCAATTACATACGTTCTCGTACAAGTGATCCATTTTTAAAACAAAGAAGAAGCATTAAAAGTTTATTTTCTCGATCATCTGTTAATGGATTGACAAGTAAATGACCATCCAATGCTTGTTTTGGCATTTCATGTGCAGAAATCGAAGCCATAACTGTATCACTTGTACCTACATTATTTATTTATCGAATTTATTTAAATTCATTTTAAATAAACCTTTCACAGTGAGATTATTTTTTTAGTCAAAAAAATTTGTTCGTATTTAATAGAACAGTATTTATTTTATAACGTAAGTCAGCATTGAATTCTTGTGCATTCATGACTCGTTTTTATTTTCTGGTCAGAACGACGAGTTGTGTAACTACAGTCAGATTAACATCTTCGACTGTCGATGAAGCTTTTCACTATTGACGAAAAGTGTCGTGCTGTCATGTACAAAGACGTCTCTATTGATGACCCCCCGTCGCGGATCTATTCAACAGGTCGTAGGGAGAGTGTTGGAAATTCTTTTGTGTTAATAGTGCGTATTTACTGCGAAACTTCCATTGCCTTCAGTATGTCCCTCGTTGTAATCTATAGAACTACCTAGGTTCTAGTATTCACTTGTACTTCAAGTTTAATTCGATATCTGTGTCAGAGGAATAAAACCACCGTCTCCATATATGGGAAGTGCGTCACGAAAGGCTTGACCATATTTACCTAAACTGATGACAACCGTTTTTGAATCAGATGCTAATGCATAAAATGATGATGGATTATCTCCTGTAAATGATACAATCTGACATTGACTATTAAAACCATAACGTTCAACAAAATATTTTGAAATTGTTCCCAGTACTGTTCTTGGATGAACAAGTTTTTCGGAAAGTTTCTTTTCTAAATCTTTTCCACAAATATTTAAACATTCTTTTGACCATTTAAATTGACGAATATCAAGTAAATTCATGCCGGAACCATCAGATAAATCAATAGGAGCATATTCACCAAGTAAAATACTGGCAAGAAAATTGCTTATTAATTGAATACGTTCTGTTTGTTCATAAATTTCAGGTGTCTTATTAGCTACTTTCATTATTTGACTACCAGTAAATCGTTCATATGCTTTTGAACCAGTTATTTGAAAAAGATTTTGTGCATTACCAACAGATTTTTCAATTAATTGACATTCATCTGTTGTTGATGAATCCATCCAAATTGGACAATTAATACGTGAAAATGATGATTTTAAAAGATCAACAAGATATAAATTTTTTTCGTTAGATTTTTCTGTATCAACATCAGTTGTTATATGAAAATTTTTTAAATTTTCTAATTCTGTTTTAGTTTTCCAATAAACACTACCATGTTGTTGTCCACATCCTTAATAAAGTCAACAAATATAGAATTTAAATAATGGAAGCAAAAACAAAAAAAAAGATGTCTATCAATCTACCTGATATTCCAACAATGTTTGAAAAATCAAACTTTTGTTGCTTACTTAAATTTTGAAATAATACATCTAAATTAATCATGTAGAATTCTTAGAAAAATGATTATTTGTTTTTCTTTTTAATTCTTACCAAGTGCTTCTAGAAATACGAATACTGGTGTTGTTACACAACGATTATCATTTTTATCAACAATAAAACCATTTGGTTGAACATGATGAACAAGTAATGATTTATCATTAAAACTAATTGCTTCTTCAGCAATTGTTTGTAATTGTTCATTAATTACAATACATTTGATTTGTTGTGTACTCAAATCAAGACCAAGATAAAGTCGTTGACAAACTTTTTCATTAGACATCTAAAGTACAATGACTAGACGTGTGGACTAGAATATTTTCGTCAGAGCAAAATATTTTAAAGTGAAAGACAAATAGACAATATCAAATACACTAATTAGTACTAAACATTTAAACAACAACGAATTTAAAGGAATGTATGATATTTGTATGTTAGAGGATTGTATGAGATTCTTATTCATGAGCCCATGTACCACGAGGATATATCTGATAAAGTTTTTCAATTTTTTCAATTTCTTCTTTTTGACCAAGAAAAACTGGCGAACGTTGATGAATTGATTTTGGTTGAATTTTAAGAATGGAATGTTCACCATTGGATGATGCACCACCGGCTTTTTCAACAATATATGCCATAGGAATACTTTCATATATTAAACGAATTTTGCCATCTTTAGCATCTTTGCTTTCCGGGTACAAAAATATACCACCATAAAGAATTGTTCGATGAATATCAGCAACCATTGAACCAACATAACGATTAGCAAAAGGTTTTTCGTTACCCTAATGTAATAGATTATCAAGAATCAATTGTTTTTTTTTTTGTATCGTAAATAGTCTTTCTAACCTCTGGAAACTTTTTCGAATGAACGAATTCAGTTGTTGCTTTATCCCAATATTTCGAGTAACCTTCATTAATACTATAAATCTTTTGTGAGCCTTTTTCACCATAGTTAGGAATTCGCATATTTGGCGCAGTTAAAATAAATTCTCCAATCGACTAAGAAATAAAAATTCGTTTATAAACAAAATGAAAATACGGAAAAAAAGAGTTTTTTTTTCATACAGGATCAAGAGTAAATCCATTAACACCTTCTCTTGTGGCCAATACAAACATACAAGCTGAACCATAAACAGCATAACCAGCACAACGTAAATGTTCACCACTTTGTAATATACAATCCATTGGAGTTTGAACATTTTCTGGTTTTTTCCATATACCAAATATTGAACCAATACTAAGAAAACAAAATCTGTTAATAATTTGTTTTTCTCTTCTAGCAGAGGTAGGATGCTCTTGCCTCTCGCTTTCTAAGAAAATATTCATGACAATATCGATGATCATCTCAGTATATTGGACAATAGTCAAACTTTGAATTTATTATGGTAAAGTTAATCAATACCAACTTTTGAGCAGTACCATCGTATTATCACGAAAACAGTCAAAAATCATGCTATATTCTAAAATATAGAGCATCAGTAACTGGCAAAAATGAGCTGTTTACATTCTTACATAGCATATATTTACTTGGAATTTGTACTTTAACACGAGTGAGAAAGGTAACAATTTATGAATTCATAATGGTCAATGGTTGAGAAAGTATATGTACTGCTATTTTTCTTGAAATCAAAAGACACCAAACTGAATTTTTTATATATTGTATATCTTTTTGTTCTTTGCATAATAATAACAAAAATATTGGGAAAAAGATTTACCTTCAGAACGTAACGGGGTTCACATCTCTCTTCTACAAGCTGATTTTTCAAAAGAAAAGCAAATGTAACATTCGGAATTAACGTCAACAACTACATTGAGTCAAGCACATTTTGGAGAAATTTTTTTCTGTGAAAAAATCACTTGAAGTTATCTTAGACATTGTTTACAGCTGAAATGTATTTGACTCAATGTGGTTCTTGAAGCTGACTTCAAATGTCATAATTATTTTGCTTTACACTTGTGTCATGGTAATGAAACTTGTGAAAGATATTTTTTCTTCTTTTGAAAGACCATCAAAAATTACTATGCAAGAGAGAGAGAGAGATGTGAACCCCATTATGTCCTGAAGGTAAACCTTTTTTTAAATTCTATAGAAAATAAAAAGTTACATAGTATATGAAAAACAAAATTAGAGTAATATCTTTTGATTTCAGAAGATGCCAGCAGATATACTCTCAAATACCGACCATTATAGATTCATAAATTATGATCTTTCTCACTCACGTTGAACCACAAAACCCGACTAAATAGATGATATGTAAGAATTTAATTAGCTCATTTGTTTTCGTTATTGATTCTCTATCTTTTAGTATACATTGAAATAAGTTAAAAATCTGTGTTTGCTGGTTTCAGACGATGAGTCTTTCGAACGCGCATAAAAAAAGTCAAAAATTTAAATATTGACTAAAGCCTTCATGAGTGCCTTCTAGAATCCGTCCACAAAATGCTTTCCCTACTTTTGACAATGACTCATTCAGTGCTTTCCTCTATCTTTCAGTTGGATATACTTACGTTACAAGACAATCAATATTCGATGAGCCATCCAAAGGATCAAAACATATAATATATTTACCCTAAAAATTCGAAGCTTCGATTTATATAAAAAGAAAAAAAGCAAACAAAACAAAATTTCTATATACCTGTTTTCCTATTTCAACTTCAATCATGTTTTCATTCTCTTCCGATGCCATGACATAAACCGTATAGGATGATGTAAGCATATTAATAAATAATTCATTAGCAAGAACATCTAATTTCTTTTGATCATCACCTGTTGTATTTGATGAACCGGCTAAACCATATCTATAAAGATGAAAATTGTAATTAAAATAAGAATTTTATTTTTTCTTACAATTTAGCAATGCCTGCTTTTCGTACAGCTGCTGCACATGCTTTAATAGCTGTTAATAATGCATTAAGTAAAATAGTTAATTCACCTGTTGCACCAGGATATTTCTTTTTTTGTTCAAGTACAAAGCTGGTTACAGTTGTGCATTCAGTGTCCATCTAGAAAATATAACCATAATAATTCTTGTAGGAGAAAATAAACAAACAATGATGTCTCGTACGAGGTCAATATGAAGCAAAAAAGAAAATTATGTAACTGTCAAAATCTAATCGATAATAATGTGGGTAAAAGAAAATAACAATAATACTAAAATAACTTGAGTTTCTTTGTTTTTTTTTGTAAAAAACATGCATGAATCAGTATTATTAATTTTATGAAAACCGAACAAATCGTATAAAGAACCTACAGATGGGGTAAATGTTATATACAACATTTTTTAGTATGTTAACTGATGAGCTTCTTTAAAAACTCTTTTTTTTTTTGTTTTTAAATTTTATATGATTGATACAAATAAAATCCATATGTAATATTGTTATGTGTTGTATCGTTGTTTTTTCATGTTTCATCTTGCATTCTAATTCGAGTTACCTGTAGTATCATTCTATTTTTTTTTCTTATTTCTATTGAAATCTTTCTTGACATATCTTTTACTAAATCCATGAATAGTAATAGTGAAATATTAACTTCAACAATAATTTTCAAAGTTCTCGTCGAAAATTAAATGTCATTCATCGAAATAATTTTTCTATCGAGATTATATATGTTCTCTACACTGAAAGAATAGTATCTAGAAACGAGAATTCACCTTGGTCTATTAGTAAATAGTTATCATATTGTAACTATGGCTATAATACTAGAAATGACTGCGTAGGATAATAAAAAAAACGACACCTATGCATAAGGATTAAAATTAATCGAAAACTAATATTCCAAGAGGAAGAATAGGAAATTGGTATTTCACCACATTTGATCATATTTTGCTGTTTTAAATGATTCACAAGAGAACATCTCTAAATGTCAAATCACTTTTCGACCGATATGTTCAATGTTGTATACATGAGAATATTATATAATAATTATTAACAGCAGATAGAGAGTGAGTCTAAACATTCTATTAATTTTCTTTTTGCAATAAAAATAGCGCATATATATAACTAATTGTAAGTAATCATATTGATTTCTGTGTTATCTTGATAAATATATATAAAATAGAAATATAGAAATGATAAAAAATTGGAATGTTTTCATTTTTAAGTTATTTGTATTTAAAATATTGAAACTTAGGGTTTATCAAAAGTTCTGACAACAGATTATAAAAATAAAGAGATATTCCTAAGTTTATCTTATTAAATGTTCAAACTATGTAGTTGCTATAATTATTTATGCAAAGTTTCATCGTTTCTAATAATTTTTCAAATGTTTTTTTAAACTCTTCTCCTGAAATACTTTTAACTGTCTTGGGAAATCGTACGAGTCAATGATTTTTCATTTGTTCGATTAGTTAAATTACGTTTGATATAATCATTCAGTCGAAGTTCACATAATGCAAGATATGCTGAAAGCGTTATTATATTGATACCTTCTTGTGTTAAATAATTAAAAACATCTGAATGAATATGATGTCAAGAATTGTTACCAAGTAATTTAATGTTTTTTGTATTTGATGACTTTTTTGTTTTCATATTTCATTGATAACAGACTTGAGACAATTTTCAATGTAACAGTTGTGATCTATAGTCTTGTCTTTATCTACATTATGTATAAGAACAGGATCATTTGACTTGAAGAACTTAGAAAACAAAGTTTTTTATTCAAATCTATATCGATGGACAATAGCCGTTAGTGATTCACTTCCATTAATCCAACGTGCATTAATTGACTTACATCCAGCATGTCTACGATAAATCCATGTCTTATCATCAGTAATAATATCACATGATTATTATGATCGATCACAAAATTTCTTCAGATTCCAACTCTTTCTTGCTTTTGTTCATTATTGAATCGATGACACATTCAATGTGATGTAACTTTTCGCATTTTTAGACAACTGTGGATACTTGCTTCTATTCTATCATGAAAAAAAGAAATCTCAACGATAAACCGGCCGACCAGATCGAGGGTCATTATCAACGTCTTCTCTTCCTTTATGTAAACGTTATGCTCATCTTGCAACTATTCGACATGATGGAGCGTTAGATATCAATGCTGTTATAAATAAGTTCTTTGTGCATTGTCTTTGCACCAATTTCTAAAATAGTTCGAATTCATCATCCATTTTTCAAAATTTTCTTTTTCTTCAAATTGAATTTTATCTAAAAGAATATTAGAACTTAATTTAATATGGATTTATCATCGACAAGATATTCTACGTTCGATAGAAGTAGATTAAAAATAAAATTTGAGAACAATATTAAACAACAAAAACGAATGTAGTTAAAACAGTGTAACGATCAAACAAATTTGACAAAATCTCTATTGAAAAATCAATAACATTGCACATAGAACCTGAATTGCATTAACCAAATGTATTATTAACACAAAAAAATCAAGTTTTAGTTTTGTGAAACGAATTGCTCTTATATTAAGTCACCTTTGGTATCGATCTAGTACTATACTTAACCAACGTTTATATTTAGATGCATTTTGCTAGACAAATTTAAATAAAATGAACTCAAATCAAAATACTTATGACACACACATTGATAGGAGACTTGAAACATCCGAAAAGTTCTAGAGAATAACTTTGACTTGCGCTTGACGTATGAAATTTTTCGCTCTGCTCTTCCTTAATCTATATATACGTATATATCTATCCTGTTAGTGTAGGGCTAAGTTAATCGAGTTTTGAATGAATGTTACTTGTGTTTTATTGCAAATGTTAAAGTAGTTCTTAATAAAGTCAACTATAGATCTATTACATTTCATAAAGATATCGATCATAAAGTAAATATTTTATTTCTTTTTAATTCAATATATATTTTTCTAAACAGGATAATTCACTTATTTTTATTAATTTGAGTCCAAGTGAAATAGGCCTGTGAAAAAGTTTTCTTGAATTAGTTCTAAGAATGTTCTAATTTTTTCATCAAGATATGAAATAAATCAAAAGAAAACTATACAAATAGATAAAATAATCAATGTTCTATCTCATTATATAGAAATCAAAAACTTCTGAAGTCTTGTAGAGATACAGCAAGTTGAAGAAAACTAGTAAAAATAAGTAAATCATTCTGTAAATAATGTAACAGAAAGATTGATTATATTCATCATAAATGTTGTTTAACCACATTGAGTTATTTTCGTTTATTGAATTATGATATTTATCATCGTTATAATAAACGTTAATTAATACTAAACATGATAGAAGATATTAAATATTATTAATATATGTATATATTTCTAAATTTTATTTAGATATGCCATCAACAAATAATTATTATCTTTATCATATTCTTTTATAATTTATACGTAAGAGAAAACGTTATAACTAATAAATCGTTTATCTCGTCGAAAGATATTAAATTGTAGGTTATCGACCATGCTGATTTCGAATATGATTATAGACAATTCTTTTAGATCTTTACAGAGTAGTTTTCTAGAAAAATTGCTTTAAAACTAACAAATTTTTTGCATAAAATTCATTTTGATTGAGACAAAAAAAGTTGTTCCATGACATATCATAGAACTTCACACTCGTCAAATATTCTTTTAAAAATTTTTTTGAACACATCTATCATTGTCATTAATACTACTAAATTTGATATAATTTCATTGCATATTTCATAATTATGTTTCTAATTCTATTTGAATTCGAGCACCACCTACTAGCGAAGATCTTTTTCTTGTACTAACAGATATAACTGTGAAGCACGACTATGTGCGTCGAGTACTCGTATACCAGAACTTGATGTAAACGCATATGACTGAAAATATGATTGACAACTGGTAAAGCATGGAATCGATTCAAATTCTTCTTATATATGAGATTTCTTAGTTGAAAAACCAAAAAATCTGCCAACACGCCAAAGATAATTTATTCATGAACAGCTAATAGAGAATCAACCATAGAAGAAGACGAAATAGTGACCAAGCTTATTGAAACAAGTTGATCAGGTTGACATTGAATAACAGGTGTTGAATCATCAGAAGACATACTATCGATTGTAAGAAAACAAAACAGAATCAAAGCATCTGTTATTATTACAATATATCGAACTGTGTTGTTACTTTATAAGTTGATTAATTCTTGTTTGTTTTTTTTACATGCTAATGGTTACGGTTCTTAACCACGTATAGAATAGAAAAAGAAATTTATTCTTCCCTTGTTTCGCTCGAATAGGCGAGAAAGACATTTATTTATTTCGAAACGATTGTTATTGCTAATAAAAACAAAAAAAAAATGTGTAAAAGACGTTTGTCCCATGAGATTGTTTTGTTTCATGCAGAGTCCTCATACATATCCGTATTTCATTGTGAAAACTCTCAATATAATATTTTTATACTTGGAACTGATTTGTGAAAAACAGAAAAGATTATTGTCTTATAGACAATTCAATAAACTCTATAATTTGAATTGATTAAAAGCAATTTTGGTAAAATATTTATTAATAAGGAAAACTGCTTTATTTTAGAAAATCAGCATGACCGATAAACCATAATTCAATAGCTTTTAATGAGAAAATGAATGATAAATTGAAATGGTTGCCTGGCAAATATGACTATATGTATTCCGTTATTTGATCTTCTTTGTTCTATTATTATTTATATATGACAACAACGATATTTCCATTAGTAGCAGTGTTTTTTTTTTAGTATCTTAATTGATCATCTTGGAATAGAATTGAACAAATATATGTAAAAAGATTGGCCAACGAACAATCACATCAAGCAAATTGCAATCATCATTATCTCTGCCAATAACGATAAGTGCATCGAAAATTCCATCATTTATCAACGGCAATGATGATAACGATAAGATTATTTATATTTCACCATGTACTTAGACACCAGGTTTTTGTTTTGTTTTTTCATTGAAGAATATTTTCATAATCTTTCTCTTAGTCTTATGTACCACAAGACTAACACAAGATTAGATATAATTTAATTTACCAAAGAAGAAAGATTATTTCTTTTCTTTTTATAAACAAGAACGAATGAAGCAAAAAAACAAACATTAAAAGACCATCAAATACAACAAATACACTCGGAAAAAAATAATAAAAGGAAACATGATATTCACTCTCTATTTATAATACAATTAATATAGTTCTATAAACATCGATACATACAATTTATTTTAGAACATCGTTCCTTTTTTTTTTCTCGTCATTCAAAAGAAAGCATCTCACCAGGATTTGTTTTAGGTAACAATCGATGCAAGTGTCAGAAATTGGAAATACGTGCATTATCTGAAAACACAGGATAAGAGCAAGAATAATAGATACAAGAAAAAAATACAGAAATAAAATAGGATATGCTAATCACTTTTTTGTTATTTCAAGTTAACACACTTTTATAACAGATGAAAACTGAAATACTGAATTTTATTTACCTGATGATGATGATGCTGATGCTGAGGGTGGTTTCGATCGTAATGATGGAGTTCTTTCATTATGACGTGCTACTCTTGGTGATGATTGAATATCAAGTTCTGACGAACCTTGACTATTGAGCGATGTTTGTTTATTGAGCGATTGTTGTCTTTGTTGTAAGTAATTAGCTATTGTTCTTTTACGTGTTTCAGCAGCTATTTTTAATGTTTCATAGACTGGATCAATTATTGTTTGATCTAAATTCAAAAACCAAAGAAAGAAAAAAATAAAATTTTTTAAAAAATTAAAATTAATTATTTTTCTTTTACCTTCTTCATGTTCATCATGATGCTTTTTCTTTCGTGATGAAAATCGTCGTACAAATGACTAAAAAAAGAAAAAAGGAAAAACTTTAGAATAGAATTATAATTAATGTAAAATAATTATATGAGTGTAAGTCTTAATGCTACCTCCATCATTTGAGCAATAGCACTCGGACGTTTTTGTTTTAATAGATTAGAACAAGATTTATCATTGATATTATACAAACAATCTGTAGTCATTCGACGATTTTTATTCATTGTATGTTCAAGAAAAAATAATGTAAAACGTCGTTTTATCCATGATGGTGGAACATTTTTTAATGGTTTTCCAAGTTGACTTTCATCTTTTTCTGATTCTAAACATGATATATTTTCTGAAGATATATCAGCAGTTGATTTACGTCGAGCATAATCTAATCTCGAATGTTGTGGTCTTAGTGAATGTGAACGTATACGACCTGATGAAGGTGATGGAACTGATGGAACTGATGGAACTGATGGAATATCAAGAGATTGATCTTTATGTTCTTGACTGGACATCGTACTGATCTATCGTGAATGATAAATCATTTGATGTGTATTTGCCCAAGCATGAAAAGCAACAATAAAGTCTCCGTTGCAAGAAAAAAAAAAGAAATCGGAGAGAGAAGATAATAATAAAGGATGTCAACAGGAAACGAGTTGATCGGCAACAAGAAAAGACAAGATATTTTCTCAGATTACTGTTACACGAAACAGTGAAAATTAGTAAAGATAAATTGACAGATTAGAAAAAAAACTAATTAGTGATTTTTTGTCAATAAATAATCATCAAATAAAAATAGATATATACAGTGAAATAAATAGGTAAAGATATAATAAATTACATATCAACAAACATAGTTTATATTTGTTATAATTGATTATTATTTCGTCGGACACTATGGAAATCTATATTTTTGACGTTTATCTCTCGTTCGAATGACTCAATTAAGAACGATATAAATTAAATATGCAAATAGAATTCATCATTGTATATTTATATTTGTTTAACTTACCGAAAGATTTTCATTATCGCTAGATCCACTTCCAGTTGTCGAAGTTTTTAGAGCTCGACATGCGTCACGCCAAAGACCTTTTATATTTTTCGAACTGCGCTTATGCGCATCTTGTTCATTGTCAGTATTACTACTCATCGATGGTCGATGAGATTTGAGCAAATCGTGCTACAAAAAAAAAAAAAAAAACAGGAAACAATACAAATCAATAGAACAAAAACAATACTACTCACAGATAACTTTTATTCTTTTCTAAGTTATTAATGCTCGAATGTATATATTATATACACAATTACATGGAAGGAATACCAAAAAAAAAAGAGAGAAATGAAAGGACACGATTGATATTTACTATAAATCGACAAGAGGAAAAAAAAACTTTTCCTCTATTTATCGTTAAAACTCAATTGCTCATATCTAAGCAGTATAACAACCCAAAAACAAAATATGAGGAAAATAAAAAAAAAACGTTAGACATTTCCTTAGGGAAATAATCATTTTTTTTTTGTTTCGTTATGTTGATTGCTTACTCTTTACACATACATGGGCGTGTATACAAAAGGCAAAACGATTCATTGATGTTATCTTATCTGAAGTTATAATTATTCTCAACAGACGCTTAGGTGGAGTAGAAAATAGAAATTAATGAATAAACTAATAGAATAAAAAGATACATGTCTCAGACTCTTCATCATTCTGAATGTCATGTAATATTATCTTCTTATCCTAACCAAACTGTCAAATCTATGATAAATGACCACTACTTTCAATAACAGTGTTGTCTTTGTTTATCTATATTTCTAACTGCGAAAGTATAGTTTATGTTAAAAGTATCATGATGTGTCATCTTTCTCTATGACCTGGTCCTAGCAGGCAACCAAAACATATCAGATAGAAAACAATATCGATATATATATGTATAACGATCGTTGTTAACATTAACTAGAAATACAATCGAATAAGACATCTGTTTCAAAAGTTCTTTTGGAAAACATAAGATTAGGTTTTTTTTTCTACATGTTTATGTCAATATTCTATATGTAATACATATAAATATATCGAAATAAGACTCACGATAAATAAAATCTCAATAGGAAAAGTTCTATCACATAAAATTCATTGTTATCAATGAATTATTTTAAGTTTCCATAATATGTCTGTTATGATTTTGATGTATATGCATGTTTTATTATGAGACAATGTGGAGAGAACTACATATGAAGGTTTATGGCAGATTGACAATAGGAAACGTAGTGTAAATAGGCTATTAGAAAACAAAGAGAAAAAGCATGAGTAAAGCAAATAAATGCAAGGAAACTGTCGATTAATCAAGCTGATGGATTCTATGAAAAGCGTTTTTTTTCCCTCTTGTTACGAGTATTACATATAGCATATATTGCTGTTATTTTGTCCCGGTCAATTGTCTTAAAATGATCTGTTTCCCAGCCGAACATATACATATGCTCATCTCACGCTCAAACACTCGTTGCGACATTTGACAAAAGTTGCTATGTCGACCTAGACGTATAACAGCTGGGTTATTAGAAAAAAACAACTGCAATGTATTGCTTGTTTTCTTCAATACGATTACGCTCGATTTCATTCATTTCAGTTGGTTAAATATTTACTTTGAAAAAAAAATAAAATAAAACACCAAAAAGAAAAAAAAAAGATTGTATAAATATTAGACAAATTTCGAATGAATGATTATCTCATTTTGCAAATGAGATTGTCGTTTCTAAATGACCTCAAATATTTATCATCAAAGTGGCCATTGTCATTTGAAGAAGAATGTCAATAGAAATACCATAGAATTCTCGTTTTCTTGTTTTTTTTTTCTTAGTTTGATATTTTTCATACGCAAAAGAAGAAAGAAAGATAAAAGCTAACTATGATAATTTACCTGAGCAAGTAATACAGATTCTTCAAGTTCAATTAAACGTAATTGATGTTTTCTTTTCATCAAATCACTGATTTGATTAAGTATTTTCTTGTCTGATCTAAATAAACATATTTACATATGTATATAAATTTATGCTATATTGAAAGAAGCAAAAAAAAAAACAACAAAAAAAAAAAGAAGAAAACATTTACTGTTGTTGATCATCAGATTGTTTAACTGGAATTTTCGATGTTTGTGGATTAATAATTGCTAATAATAATGCTTTTTCCTTTTTAATTGCTTTCAATCGCTCTATTGTTTCTTTACAATGTGATGATAATTGCATTCGTATAACTGGTGCAGCGTAAATTATTAATTGTTCATCTTTACCGGTTGATATACGTGTATTATTATTATTATTCATTGGTGATATAAATGATTCGAATTGTATATGAATAGGAGATTTTGGTGATCCATCACTTGTTTCATTCATAGAACAAATATAATTTTCTAATTCTTCATTTGCATTTGTTGTTGTACTTGTTACGACAAATGAAGCAAAACTCGAATGACGTTGTTCATGCTATGAATAACAAAAGTAAAAATAAAGTTACAAATTTATATGGGCTTCTTTGTTTTTTATTATATTTAAAAATAGAATTTTTATTATATGAAAACGAAAAAGAAAATACTACCGATTGACGGTTGCCCATTGTTGTGTAGATAATAACGATACGTCAAATGGCATAGAACGAACAACAACAACAAAATATCTGTACCACTTTACATCTAATATAGGAAAAATGTTTTACAGACCAATATCTTCATCATATAACAAGCAACTATGCAAATAAACAAATATAGACTTGCTCGATAAATAAGGAAATGAATAAAAAACTACATATGGATGTGTTATAATCTATTGCCAGATATTATATGAGTAGGTTGTTCTTTAAAAAATATATTAAATATAATATTATAAATGAATTCATTATAAATTTTAGATAATTATTTGAAACAAAGTAATTAATTTCATATATCGAGTTTCTTTTTCTTTTATTTTCACAAAAAATAAAAACAAAATAGATAATCAAGTAATAAAAACTTTGTTGAATTTCGAAGAAAAGAAAAACGAATATATTTCCATTAGTGACCTTTATTCAGTGTAATCAGTAATTATTCGGAAAAACAACACACACAAAAACATATCATATCAATTTATATTTATCATAATAAGAAAATGAGATAAAGAATAGAAATCTAAATTTTATTTCCAAAATCTAGTACTATTAGACGATTAAAACTCTTTTCCGTACTTTTTTGATTTTTGAAATAATGCAATTAGAAATTTAATCTTATACAAAAAAATGAAATATTTATTGTATCATGATAATTTGCAATAATTTAATTTCTTGATGTTTGTTTTTTTTTTTTCAAAATTTAATCCATCGAAATATTGAAACTTTTCATAGCTAATTTATTAATTTAAAAATGACAATATTATTTTGACATACTCAAAAAATGATACTATTAGTATATTCTTTCTAAATAGAAATCTGATATGAAGATTATCATGTCATAGTATTTCCGTCTTATGTGACTTAAAATGTATTCATATTCATCAATGAAACAATTCTCATTATTATTCACTAATAAATATTGAAAAATAATATGAATTGACACGTTTCATGTTGATAAAGACAAGAAAAAAGAAAACAACTATTCTAATTATTTCAAAAATATTTTTTTTTTTATTCTCTTACATGTTGTTGTAGAACAGAAGCCATTAATTGTATATTTTGACAAATAGCATCAATTGTTTCTAATTGTGATTGTTCCATTCCCTAATTTATAAAAATAAAACAAGAAATTTATTCGATTCGATTCTATAAAATATAAATTATGTACTTGAAGAAGATCTGGTAAAATATTATATTGATATTTTGAATAAAGACTATTAACACCAGCAAGTTCAAAAATATATTCATTATGAGCAAGATCAAAATCCGATGTAACACCTTGAGTGTTAAATATTTTAGAATAATCTTCTTGTAACTATAATAGTAAAATAAAGGAAAAATCCGATTAAGAAAATCTACTTATTTTAATCGATTTAATAATTGTTTCTTATTTAAATTATTAATTTATCAAAAAAAAAAAACAAACATTTTTTTAAACATACTTCTTGTACATATTCATGACTTTTTTCTAATATTTCATCAAGATCACGACGATGTTCTTTATTAAGTTTTAATTGAAGAGTTTGATTAGTTATACAATTTGTTAATTGTCCACAAATTTCTTTTTCCATAACAGATGCAACTTTTTTTAAAGACTTTAAATTATAAAACATAGATATTATTCATGTTTTATTAGTTTTTTTTTTTTTTTTTCTATTTACTTGTGATTCAATTTCTGATTCAAGTAATAATGATTCCCATAGATCATACATCATTCCACCTAGATGACATCTTATACAAAGAAAAGATCAAATATATTTTCTCCTCTTGATTTTTATTTTGTTTCAATTATAAATTTAAAATTTACTTTACACGAATTTCACTTTCTGTTTTTCTACGAAAATCAATCACCAATTGATGTAGTTGTGATGAAGCTACAAGACATATCTTAGCCCATTGATTATTGAAATCAGTAACTAGAGAAACGAAATAATATGAGAAATAAATATGAAAAAAAAAACAAGAATATTAATTTTTTATTAACTTAATTTGGCAAAAGCAATAGTCACTTCTGTATATTCGACTAATTTATGCCATACTTGTGGATGAGCTAGATCAACAAAACTAAAACGACGTCGCGTAGCCTTTGCCATGGATTTAATCTAAAAAAAAACAAGAAAATCATTCAATAAAAAATCGTTTATCAAAATAGAAAATATGCCCAGCATAGTGATGACCTATTAATTTCATAAACAAATTTGATCAACTGAATGGATTCTTCTTCGTTTATAGTCAGTAATATTGTATTCCGAAAAAAAAAGATAGAACTGTTTTTTTTCTTCAGATAATACTCAAGCGAGCGTGCATACCCAAAGATGGTGTCAATCATTTTGCTCTCAACATAGCCGATGAATTCTATCTACAATCATAGTCCTTTTTCTCTCTTTCCACTCTTTTTAATGATTTTTTTGTATATGCATTTATTTCTCCCTACTTACATTTCCTTAGTTTCAGTTTTTTTTTTTTTGTTACAAATGCCTTTGCGTGATCGATTACGTTGCTCAAATTATTTTATAATAATTAAAATATAAACAATAAAATTTTAAATTGAAATCATAGAAGCAAAAAAAAAACTTATGCATTAATAATCAACACATCTAGAATAAGTTTGATGCCTCGAAGAATGAAATCAATGTATGATTAGTTGTTGTGAAAAGAATTAAACATACATATACAATGGATCACGAACGTCATTTTATTATTGTTCAGAATAAAGCTAGAAATATGAGAAATAACAATATTCGAATTACGCACTACTTGATTCATATTGACAACGGCAAGATGAGTGTCATCATCTTGGTAAATCTCATTTCACATCTCATAGATGATTGGATCAAGTAGAGATACTCATGTCGTTGGCTTTTTGAAGAAATTTTGTTTTTTCCCTCTTTCAGTCATATTCTATTCAAAAGATAATTTCCATCAAATAAAATAAATTAGGATGTTAACATGATTTATTGAAGTTTAAATTGAAAAAAAATTGGTCTTTTGTTCTATAGAAAATATGTCACAATATTTCGAACGGATGTAAACAGCCATAAAATATATAGAAATAACTTGCTTTTCGATTATAATAAAACATCAAAAGCCCTAGTTGACAACAGTCATCATCAATTACTATCTTGTTGATCATCAATCAATTCATATAAGATACATTAAATTCTCATATTGATGATTAAGATGATCTTAAATGTGCAGCTGAATAAATAAAATTCTTCGAACTATGCTTTATTTTAAGCATAAAAAAAGAAACTACATATTTTTTTAATACATGTACACATTTATAAATATGCACATAATCTAGTTGATCATGCATGGATTCCACTAGAGCATTTTAATCAAGAGAGAGACCATCAGGAAAATCTTCATTTTTCGTCTGAGTATGTTCTCGTGAATAGCATTTTATTCATATTTTAGTTGCATTTATTTTTCTATTAACGAAATTTTGAGTGCGTAATGAAAGAAAAAACAAGAAAAATGTATTTGCATTTTATGTTCTTATTTGCATACTCAAACCAATGTCGTTTTGTTCTTCTTTCTTTGCCTTTTACCATTCTTACCAGCTGCAACGAGAAAGAAAAACGACATGTCTGTCGCCATGTTATCGTATTAGGTATGCCCCTATATACATCGTAAATAGAACGCGCTAGAATCATGCGTTGAAGACGTGCACATTCTGTTTTTGGATGCAAAAAAAAAGAAAAATATAATCACACACCTCGTACTCGAAGCAATATTATATAAATATAGCATACATTCTTTTTTTTTTGCTACAAATACTTGACGACCGTTTATATCGTTTTTAAATTTTTTTCATACACAAATCGTTTAAATAATATGGCTTCGATGAATTACTGTTTAACTGTATGTCATGCAGTTAAAGAAGAACATAAACAAAACACTCAACAAAATGCATCATCATCACCAGTTAATATTCCGAAGTCAACTTCGCATAATAGTGGTACTACATTTTTTGGAAATATTTTTTCATTTGGCTCAATATCAGCTGCATCATCATCAATACTTAATACTTCATTGACTTCAACATCCTTGAATTTTACTGATATTGATGAAAGTCCATACTAAATTAATTTATTATCAATTGATTTATATATATGTATATATAACCTTTGCAACGTATCTGATACAAAAAAAATATACACAAAAAATAACATAACAGGTTGATACGTGGTAAAAATGAAGATAGAATCTAATGTCACATAGTGAGATGTGTGTGTACCTGTTTTTCTATGTTTGTTAATATGTGTAATTATTGTAAATTTTTGCTTTTTTTTTTTTTTTGGATTGTGAAAAGAAAAAACAACAATCAATAATGTGTCATGAAACCATGTAACTAACTTTTGATTTTGATTAAAATTTTACAGTAGTTCAGAAAGTCTACAGACAAAAATAATTTGTTTTTACATTTTTGTTTTTATTCAATGCAAAAGGAAAAACAAAGAACAAAAATAGACATTTGAACTATGTCACGTATTTATAGAACATATTTTCGTAAGAAAAACTTTCGAATTCATCGTTAAGTGGACAATATCTTATTGAAAATGAATAGTTGTTTTTGTTTTTGTTTTTCGAGCTCTGAATTTAATGAAAAAATTTCCATGCTATTAACAAAAAAGAAAAAAGAACAATATCTTAAGATATAATAAATCCCCAATCAATCAAAACAAAAAATAAGAAAAAAAAAAAAGACAAAGTTTCTTTATAAGAAGATCGCCTCTATTGTCTCGATGGTTTTCTTTTTTTGCTGTTGTTTATTTCGATAAAGGAAAAGACAACATGAATGATTACCGGCTATGACGGTAGATAATAAACTTTCATTGTGAATCATGAAAGAATAAACACAAATATATGTATATTTTTTATAGAAAGTCGTTGCTATACTAGAAGGAAAACAGAAAGTAATGTGTATGGTGGTTGTTTTTTCTTGTCTCATAAATAAACGAATGAAAAAGAAGAAGAAGAAAGAAAGAAAGAGAAACAAATTTTGTGGATAATAAATGTACAGTATTGAAAAAAAAAAACTAATTGTTATTTTCTTTGATTTGTTTGCTGTTGCTGCAGTTGTTGTTGTTCAAATCTATGAATTTTTCCTTCTAAATTAATTTTTTCACGTTCCAGTTGATTTATTGTTTGACGTTGCTCTTCAATAATAGCTGTTTCATTGATTAATTGCTCAAGTAGTTGATTATTAACATCGATTTCAGAAATTTTCGATGGTAATTCACTTTTATGAAGTATAAGTTGTTTACATTTTGATGTTGTATTATTAATATCATTTGAATTTGATGAATATGAATAATGATTATTGACTTTATCATCATGACTATTATCTGTTAATATATTTGTTGTTTGACTATTATTTGTTAATAATGGTGAAAGTAAAACATGATCATCACAAAATAAATCTTCAATTGTTGTTGAATCAGGTAAATTATCAAACATTAATTCACGTATATTATCCAGTGATGTTTGAATATGATTAACATCACCAGTTATGTCATGTAAAGAAAAAGGTACAAGTGTTTCAGATGGATTTGCTGATTGTATGACTTTTGATTGTTTAATATTATTATTATTATTATTATTATTAGAATAAATTGAAGAATTTAATGTTGATGATTTTTGATGAAATGTATTCGGAAAATTTATTTGTTCAGCTTTTATCATTGGAAGAATTTTTGCTGATGACTAGAAAAATAAATATATCAATAGTTTAATTAAATAATTAAATATATTTAATTAATTAACTAATTCTATGACTCGAGAAAAATATTCATAAAAAATAAAAATTTACTTGTAATATTATTAACTTATAGAAATTATTTTATCAATAGTTAATATTATAGAATCTAAAGATTAAATTTATATTTCATTTAACAAAAAAAAAGAAAGAAAGAAAGAAATTAATTTTTTGTATTTATAAGATTGATATCTTACAAATCAAATGACTGTTGTTTATTTACTTATAGAGTTAAGACTTGTCTCTTTAGAAGAATGAAGATTTAAGATTATAGTTAAAATAAAAACAAAATCTAGTTTAATAATAAAAAGTATATTTATTTGAGAGTGAAAACAAAATATCTATAAATCTTAAAAGATGATTTCGAATATTAAATCATATTAAAAAAATAATCTGCATCAACGTTTACCGTATTGATGCCCGTTAAATTCGCTTCATCTATTTGTCCAATATGCGTTTTTGCTTCATGACTATTATCTGTATTTAAGAAAAAATCTGGAATATATGTCGGTTGACTTTCATTATTTCCATTTTCAATTGTTTTATAAGATTTATGTTGTTGTTGCGAAAAATTTAATGCATCATGAATTTCATTCGTTTGAACAGTCCATTCATAATTTGTCGGTTGTTGTTGATAATGATCATCAATAGATTGTATTGAAGCTGTTTGAGATGGTGCCGGTAATGATAATGGTGGTGGTGATGGTACAAGATCAACTAATGGTGATGTATCCGTTGTATGAAGCCAACCACCTGTATCATTATCTGTTAATTCATTAATTATTATACCTGGTTGTCTTTCAAGATTAATTGTTTGTGTTAATATATGTTGTTGTTGTTGTTGTTGTTGTTGATGATGATGATGTGTTGTACGTTTATTTGGTTCTTCACTAAGCATAAGTGCAGCTGGTTTACGTTTAAGACTATTAGTCGATAATTGTGGATTTGTTATTGTATGATGTTTTGTTTGTTGTTGTTGAGATTGTTCTGTTGATGCTTGTTCAACAGATGGTCGTTGTGTTTGTGTTGAATTTGTAAGAAAATGTAAAAGAAATTCCATTAATTTTGATACAATTTGTTGTTGTTTAGAATGTTTTTGTTTTAATATACTCATTTCACGCCATAATGCTTGATTTTCATCTTGCATATGAAATAATTTATCACTTAATGATGTTTGTTTCGCTTGTAAATTTCTCACATCATCAAGTAAATGTGATAATTCAATTGAACGTGGTGGTTTTGTATCAATATAATTTGTTGATACGAGTGCCGATGATGATGATGATGATGCTGATGTTGTTGTTGATGATGATGATGTTGGTAATTCTGTTTTTGTTGTATGTATATTTAATTTTTGTTGATTATCAGGTGCACGTCGTTTAATTAATTCTAATAATGTATCATGTCCACGTATAAAATTTGGATGTGCAAATTCAATATCATCATGTTCACTTTTTAATGAACCATGTTCAATCGTTGATATTTTACGAAAACCATACATATTTAATTGACGTATAAATGATGCAAAATTATTATGTTTAAAATAACGTGGTAAAATTTCACGTGCAAAACGAGATTGATCAAATACATGAAATGAACCACCAGATGAATCCCATGTAATAAGATCATCACATGATGGATCATTAACAAGTGCCCATAATTTAGCTAAGAATGCTGTTATAGCTGTTTGTGATGGTTGATTTTGTTGTGGAAAATAATCGCCTAGATTACCATCACCTATATTCGATGATGACATGTTTTGTTGTTGTTGTTATGTTTTGTTTTTTTTTTTACTTTAAAAAGAATGGAAATTTATATCTGAAACAAAAACAAAAACAAAATCTATTAGAAAAATCTAAGAACTAGAAAATGAAAATTTCTTTTTTGTTTGGTTTTTTTAATTTTTTAACATTTGACTACGAATTGTTTGAGAATTATATAACCAAACAGCATCAATACCTTCACCAAGTGTACGATCAAATTTTATTGGAAATTGATAACGACATGTTATAACAATACTTTCATTAGTTATTTCTTTTGATAATTTTTTTAATAATGGTTCCATCTAGGAAAAAAAAATTTATTAATTAGAAGAATTATAAAAGAAAAAAGATTGATCATTTGTATTTATCTAGAAATAGAGATGTATAGAACGGCGGCTAAGTGACAAAAAAAAAGTTACTTCAATTGAATCTTAAAATTATAATTAAATATTCTAGAGTTTTAAGAGACTTATCTTATTAATCAAAAAACGAGTATTGAAGAAGTTTACAAATAAATCTGGAATAAGTTTTTTTTTTTTTGTAGAACGTAGTATTGTATCCAGATTTTTTCTTCCGGAAGGGCGAACATCTATCGTTGGAAACACAGACATATATTACATGGTACAACAATCACAAACTCAAGACAAGTAAATACGGTTTTCGGAGGGGTGCTGCCCATACACTAGATAAAACACTCATAGAATAGAAGTTACTAGAACTGGGACCAAAAATCATGATCACATACATCTCTAGTCAAGGAATCACAGCAATAAGCATGAGAACATTCAGCACTGAGAATTTAAACACGTCAAACAAATAAAGGTAAATATGACATTGATTGAAAAACTAATGAATGCCTATGTGTGTGAGTGTTAGCCTTCTCTATATTCTCATTCACACCCCTACGCACACCCACATTTTGAAATTTCACTTTTATTTTGCAATAGCTTAGAAAGAGAATGACTTAATAAACAATGAATCTATATGTTCTTTTATTTTCATGAGCCTTTCATATAAAAAGATAATAATTTAGCTTTTTCTTGTCATATTCATCTAATAGATAAGATTATTATGTAGATATTTGATTGGTTAAAACTAATGTTATTTAACTTTTAAAAATGAAAATGTTGACTAAGACGTAAGCGTCTAGACTATCTTTCTCAGCTATAGCTATGCATAAAAGTCATATAAAAGCTCGACTATGACAGAGAACTATTTTGAATGTAGTCTTTTTTTTGTAGCTTCAAAAATATCGAAACGAGTTTAGTACAAATACATAAGTGACAGCTGGCGATGAATCACTCTCAATCGAATAGAAGAAGAAGACTGAAATTTCTATCAGCTTCTGTTTTCAGTACAGTTGAATCTGACGTTTGTGCAAACATTTTCTGGAACACAGATTATTTCGATTAACCAAAACAAAAAACTAACATCGATATTTAATAACTAATGATCAAATAAAGAAAAAAAAAATTCTAATACATTTTTTCCATAGTCTATCTATCGAATATTTTAAACATGAGGATATTCGACTAAAAAAATGTGTTTTAAATTTTCGTCCGATATAACAAAAAAAAAAACTATCGAATAGCAAACAATGAGTCAACTTTGTCAGAAATTCAGTACAATTTTACTTACCATTGTATCAACACCAAATAAAACAATTGTATCATATTTTGATAAATCATGCTAAACAAAATCATAAAAAATATAATCATTATATATATCAATAGGAAATTAAAAAAAATATTTTTACTTTCCAAAGATTTGCTCGTTTAAATTGACAAATTTTTCCTTGATTAGATAAATATGCTTTTAAACGAGCATAATAAACAAGTACACGATTTATTTCAATACCAGTAGCACGTGGAAAACCTTGTTGAATTGCTTCAAATACCTAGAAATAACTACAAGATTGTAAGAAAAAAGCAAAGAAGATTTTTTTTTTTTGTTTGTATAAAATATTTACAATTCGTCCATCACCACTTCCGAGATCAATAAGATGTTGACGTTGTTTTGTTGAATATTGTTTTAATAAATTGAATATATTATCTAATTGTTCTCGTGTTGCCGGTACATAAGGAAGTGCATGACGTCGTAATGCTGGTGTTAAAAAAGGTACAGATAACACAGTAAGACCTGTGCATGTAGAATGAGATGATTAAAATATAATTCTTTTTCTTTCAACTTGCCAAAACCAATTCCTCCACAGATACCAAGAAGAATACGACCAATTTTTTTCGAACTTTGTTCTTCTTGCATAACCTTTTCTGATCTAAACTAAACGGGCATAATGAAATATTTCTTTGTAATATTATGAATCATTATATAAGAATATTTAAATATGAGCAAAAGTATGACGATGCATAAAAATACAGAGATATATAAATAGGAAACTAATAATCATCACACAACGAGAATCAATTCAAAATAAATAAATAAGTAATGCACACACTATAGGAAGGATGTCCGATTATTTTATGAATTGACCAATTGGTGGTGTTTGTATTATGAACAGCGACACTATTAGTGAAGTTTAAGGACATCTAGGGGAAGCTAATGTCAATCAGACATATTGTATTAAACTTTTGAATTTTGTCTAAAGAATTCTTCTCGTATATTTTAATAAAATAGAAGCAATGCAAATTCAAGTAAGATAATTTTTTTTTCTTTTTTATACATGAGTCGACAGAGTTTGATCTATTGTTTAGAAGAAAAAAAACACGATTTTTAGCTTTTGTGTCGAAGGAGAGCTTTTATTCTTAATTTTTACGACTTATATTTTCAAATTCGGTGTGTAAAATTGAATACAAAAATACTATTTTATCAAATCAAGTTCTAAAAATCTGTTGACAGTAGCGACCCAAATAGGTTTTTTCGTACGTTTATAGGTCGTTTTTGTAAACCTATTCGAGTACTTTTGTGCTATTTATAAGGTCAAATATTTTATTGCATTTAATTATATCGTACCACCCAGCAATAAAAGTATGCCTTTTTCTACCAAAAAAAAATCAAGGTAACACAACATACCTCAGTCAAGACAGGTTTTTATGCTGATTCCAAATATGAGCAGAATTCTAGCTATTGTTGTGTAAAATTTCACAAGCATGATTTTTCTCGATAAATAAAAAAAAAAAATGCATACTTTTATGACTAGTGATACGAATAGAACATATTTGAATCATCACCACCAACAAACATTTAATTTAATAGCATTTTTCTATTCAATTTTAGACATTCAATTTGAAAATGTAAGCTACAGGAGTTTTAAAAAAACAGAACAGAAAATTTTACGTTTCGAGCATCTTAGCATAGGCACGCCAGAATAAATATTTCGGTCAATGTTTATTACCAAATCTTAAACTTTCTTTTTTTTTAAAGATTCGTAATACAATACTCTACAAGAATATATCACAATTATTATAAATTTTACAAAAATAATAGCTTTCAGTTAGTGAGTTTGAGACTCTCAGAAAGATTTGTATAAGCTGAGGAAAAAATGAGTTTATATAAATCAGTTTTATTTCAATTTCAAGAAGAATGAATGATGCATCAAACTGAAATGCCAGAATTTGAATAGGGCTTTTTTATTCAGGTATATTGCGTAAAATTAGGAAAGTTTTATCCTTTTTTCTTCTCAATTTTAAAAAGTAATGTTTGCATCAAAATACTTGATTAAAATGAGCCGCACTGCATATCATGACAAAGAGAATGTATACTTTGTTATACGCCTAAACATTTTCTCTTGTGTTATTATATTTTGTACAAAGTTCGAAAAATATGCTAGATTATTCAGACCAATAACTTTTGTAAGTTGGACCTATCGGAGTCTCCTAGTATTGTTTATCTAATTATCCCTGCTTAGCATTTTGTAGAAAAACTTGTCAAATGTACTTGTAAAGAATTAAGTCGCGAATCTTTTAAGAAGGATTAAGGCTTGCGGTGATAAATGTTAACCGTGATATTTATTTTTGTGGTGTTGTATTTAGATTTTTTCTTTCGAATCGACGGTATTGATTTGACTAAAAGGAAAATACGTCAAATAAAACAACTGGCATAGAGAGCGAGGTGTAAATCGATCAGTTGAGCTGCAACTGTGGTCTTTACATAAAAATAGATCGTAGTTTTTTGAAAATTTTTAGCATTCGACATCGGTTTTTCGAAATATTCTTTTGTACTTGGGTGGTGGTTGGTGAAGAGAGAACGTATGCGTACAAACGATTGATATTCATCGTCCGTACTTTTGTAAGACTGGTTTCAGTAACCCCTTTGATTGTATTTAGTTTGTTGATAACTTGTTTAGCGGCATGAAAAGATGCGTGAAATGAAAGCATTACTGTACAACCTGGATCGATATTTCGAGCGTTGATCGACAACATAATGAATATATGTAATGTTGCTGATGCTCTTGGTTATGTAGTAACTGATAGTGTGGATACTATTCTTAGCAGTGGGAATCTTGACGTTCGTCATATCTATATTGGCTATCATGCATCCGATCTAAGATAAGGAAGGAAAGACATCTCGTTATACAATAACTCTGTATGAAGCCCTCGTAATTCTGATGAGAGCAAGGTACAGATAAAGAAGATATCAATCAATGATCATTCTTTTATTATTCATTTCAAGTAACTCTATCATGAGGACAGTTTCTTTTCGAGAGTGTAAGCGTTAGCGTGAGGTGAGTTCTATTCATGCACACAACGCATGCACCAGATCCATCCCCTTGCCATAAAACACTTTGGATGTATTTGGAATTTTTTGCGAACGTGTACGGAAATTTCAAACACAATTGTACTGAAATGATCGTAATGAATAGATATTGAATTCTACATAACTTTTGTGTTTTGTGTTTCGATACGGATGCATTTTTTTTCAACATCTCTACTAATCACTTGACAAGTTTTTACGTCAATGAAGTTTCAGCATTCGTTGACGAAACATTTGGTATGGTCGAACCGTAAATCATATCATACGAATGACAGTGAGCAATTTTTTCCAGACTATTTTTCATCAGTTGGCAAATATAATAATGAAATCGATTGCTTAAACTTGTGATGTGTACATCAGATTACATTGTCTTTACCTAACATTTCACAAATTCTCTTCGATATTCATTCGAAAATGTCTAGTTTCAACTAAATTTAGAACGAGTGTGAGCTATGCAGTTCAAGGATGTCGTATAGGACAGAAATATGAACCACTTCTCTCACAATCTTCATCTACCAATTATACTAGCAGTGTTGTTCAAGCTCTAGCCGTCAATTCTCTTTTTTCCTCTAACTCTGTTTTTGCTTCGTTACATCGTCTCGATCCACATTTTCATCATGAAACCAATAAACTTCAGCACTTTCTCTTACTTTCACTAAGAATAAAAACCATGTTGTGTTCAATTCTGACATTTTTCTTATTAATGAATCCCTATTTTACTTGATTTTTCATCAGAAAGAGAGATTCGAAAGCGTCTATTTTCATTGTATCTGGTCATCGTTGATCACTATGTTCGAGAGAAATCTTATTGATGGAATGATGATCAAATAAGATATTGCTATTATTCAGGTATTTGACAGCACTCTTAGTAATTCAATAGAATCTTCAACAATTCGTCATAGTACGCAGCGGTGAATTGACCACTGTGATTGACGGATTCATTGGAGCGAGTGATCGACATGAACACTGCAAACAACTTCTCAATATCTTCCATCAATTTAGATATGAGTCCTTTTCTCAATCTTGACCAATTCTTTTCCAAATGTCAAGTGCAAATATCGAAGACATCTGAGTGACAACCGAATAAAACCAATCGTAGATCGAGACACAATGTGACCTAGCATGTGATTTAGTGATAAAATAATGTTTCCTGAATTTTTCGACGAGTATGCATCACGATATATCCATATCATTGATCACTTGTAAATCATTGCTCACGGCATACCAAGCAGTGCAACTGTTCGATGAACTACGATTCTAACCATTTTTAGCATTTGCTTATGTCATGGGTGAATTTTAGAAACCGTCGATTTTCTATTTATGAAAACAAAACGTTTCGGTTCGATGACAGCATCAAAACAGAATTCTCTAATAAAACTTGACGAAAAGTGATTTTTTCCATGTGATTTATGACCATATACTAGTGGATGCAAGATAATCCGATTTGAAACAATTTTATTGTTTCGTTACTTATTCAAGATTGTGATGAGAATGTTAAAGCAATGTCAATTTTCAAAAATCATCAACTTCGATCAATGCTGAACTTTTGTATTCGATTATTTCCATTGTCACTCACATAGAGATTGCCCTCTCGATCAAATGACAAACCAATGGGACCATAGAATTGATTCGATTGGCTTCCTCTACCATTTCCTCCAAGAACGGCATTCGCTTGTGTTGCTCCTTGAGACCAACACATTATTCGATGATTCCCATAGTCAGCCACATAGACAGTACCTAACCGATCTACGACGATTCCGAAAGGACATGATAATTGTGTAAGACTATTTCCTTGACCTTGACCCCCAGCTACCACAATACCTTGTTTTGCACCTTTCATCCACTTCATTACACGATGGTTGCCATAATCTGATACGTAAATTGAATGATCTCGATCGATGAATACGTATCTCGGACAATTCAACTGATCAAGACGATTTCCTTGTCCATTTCCACCTGCAACGATTGTTCCTTGGTTTTCTCCGATTCGATACCGTCTAACTGCATGTTTATCATAATCAGCAACATAGATAAATCCATCATCGTCCATTGCCAACCCCCAACATCCAATGTTTGAGACAACTGTTTCTCCATATGTATCGTTTTGACGAGGCCATCGGACTACTCTTTTATTAACATAATCACAAACGATAAGACTATCTATTTTTTTATCAATAATCACATCTGTCGGATAACTCAACTGATCAGATCGGTTTCCTTCTCCATTTCCACCGGCTACAACACGACCAGTCGTTGCACCAAATTTCCATTCAACCATACGATGATTCCAGTAATCAGCAATGTAAATAGTTTGGTCATCATCAACACACAAACCCCATGAATTGTAGATCTGATTCATTCCACTACCGTATCCATTTCCTCCAGCAACAGTGATCCCATTCTGTACCCAATTTACATTGACATTTAAATTTTCACTGCATAGTAATGAAGCTGAAACAAAACATAGTTTCGTTCATTTACATTGAATGAAAATACCTAGATGAAAATCGATATTTGAAGTAAAGAGTTTTGATCAAGATAGAGAGAGAGAGAAAAGTTCTTCTCAGTTTTCATATTGTATACAAATCCTCAATGTTAGTCTTATTGTTTTGATACTTCGAATGATGATTAACATTCTAATCTTCGAATTTAAACTCAGATTTTCTTGTCATCTCATCATCGTTGGAAGACTTCTCATCTTTTAAAGAAGTTTTAATAACAAAGTTTCGAGATTGAAAATAATTCTAGACGATGCTGTTATCGAAAAGATTCAATCGAACTTTTCTGTTCAACTATTTTTTAAATCAAGACAGTCAACTAAATATCATCAATAATATCAAGAAAACAAAATTCAAAATAACAACTACGGTTATTATTTCAATGATGAAATGAGAACTTTGTTTTGAAAAACAAACGATTGACACTTTAAGAAACATTTAATGAAGTTTCATCTAGTTTGATCTTTATAAAATCAACCAAATGAATATATGAAATGTAACAAAATTTTTGAAATGCATGACACGTTTATTTATTTTTCGAAGAGATATTTACTGATATAGAGCCCTTTCAACAGAGATAATTTAATTTGTTTCTCGCAGAAACAAACTGAGAAATGAATTTGCAAACGTAAATGAATCGAATATTCGCATTTCTTTTCTTTTCCTTTTGTTCACTTTTGGAAAACAAATCTATTATGTTTTTCTTAATTTCTATTCGATATTCTTCTCTGATATCATCTCGAAATGTTCATTATATTAATATTCTAAACGAAGCAAATCTCATTACGATTACATCTGATTAGAGTAGATAAAAGAATGGCGTCAAAGCCTTATGTTAGAGATTTAACGATCAAAGATTACTCGATTATTTTATTTTCATCTATTTGAACGAGAAAGTCGAACATTAACGAAATCATTTTGTTCTTCAAGATGAATGAACAAGATTTTTCACGTTTCGTTCTTATCAATGAAGATGATTAACTGTAGTTAATTACATATCGGAATCGAACTCATTATTCAACAGGATTTGCAATATGTTTTATGATGAATATATTCTTCGACGATATCATATCGTCGATATGTTCATTCTTATTTAGTATTTGAAAATGCGAAACACTTGTTGCATATTCGATTCTCATAAATCACTTTTCTTACATTCCAAAGATACTACAGAGTTAAGCTCACATGGTTAACAAGATGAAGAAAAACTTTCTCGATATTTGCGTGATCAACTAGAAGACAAGATTTACCTTTCATTGTAAGACGAATTTTATCGATGAAAGATGTTGAATCATGTTCAATTTTGATATTTGGTGGATTGTTAAGAATGTCTTTTAATCGTTTAAGTTGTTCATTCAAAAACTGAATGTCTGGATCTGCAAAATCATTTTCTTTACGATAATGAATTAGTTGTTTACTCAATTCTTTCAATTTCAAATCGATATTGTCAACAAATGTGATGATACACGATAAGAGTTTATGGCGAACTTCATTGGCCACTTGTCGAATCTTTTCAATTGATTCACGTTCCCATTCATCGATTTTTTTCATTAGTTCATGTTTTTGTGGTTCGATTTTTTTTTCGTCGATTTCAATTCTGAGCTCATTATATTGATCTTCAGTTCTACCTAATTGCTCGCTTAATTCATTACGATGTTCACTAATATGATCAAAACAAAAATCTTGAGAACATCCACTACATTTCACAGTAGTTTTTGGTTTTTTGCATTTAACACAATAATTTTTGCCAGTTATTGTTGCCATGTGAAGATATACTTTAGAAAAATAAAAACAAATGAAACAGGATTGATAAAATGTGACAGAAAAACTACTTGACTTCGTTCGTTTCTTTTGTCAACAGAAGAATTTTTGCATCATCAAAATGTTTTGTTATGTAATCAGATGTTTCATCATGGGAAGAAGATAAGTAGTGCTAAGGTTCTTTTCTCACATGCATTATTCCTCGGTTAAAAGCACTTAAACACAACAAATCGATCATTGAGAACATTTTCGGTATGGCTCAGTTTGGAAAAACTGGTCCAACCAATTTTTCTGACATGGAGTCTCTCTTTGTATATTGCAATAAGGGCATCAATGAATGGAGAATTTTACAATAATCATGAATATCTTCTTTCAATTTGAAAATGAAAATTTCGAAGATAAGTCCAGAATTGAACAAAAAGTTTCGAAAATTTTTCATGTTGAGTTTTTGTTTTTATGTACTTGATGAAAACTCGAAATTAAATTCAAAATTCAAGTTAAATATCATATTTGGAATCAGCGTAAAAACTGCGCCGAAGCATAATTATTTTAGCTAAAAATTTTTCTGATGAAAAACACACCTGTGCTCCTTCTCGGCTCTATTAGTTCAAATTTTGTCTCAGGTCTCATACGGCGTGATTTTCTATAGAAACAAAATTTGTCTTAAGATATATGTGATTCGAAACAGCTTTTTGATGCTGATTCCAAATATAATACTTAAATTGAATTTTAAAGTTAATTTGGAATTTTCATCAAGTAAACAAGAGCAGAACAAAAAAAAAGTATTCATGGTTTTTGTCCAATATGAGCTTTTTCATATATTTTTCTCAATTCTGAAATGATCTTCGAAGTTTGCATGAAAAAATTATATATATCGAATAGATCATCAAGTTTTGTGTATTAAAACAAATATTTGACTATTTCGAACTTACTTTTCATGTCGACTTACGATCAAAACAAAAGCTCTATTCAAATCCTATTCTAGTAGTAAAATACTGTATAATTTATTCAAACAAAACTTACTATTTTCAAATTGAAAAACGCCATTCGTGATCAGTGCATAATTCTGCATCGATGAGTCATTCAAAAGGTTTTCCCATTGTCGACTTGTTATGTTTAAGTAGTGTTTATCTAGGAATAATGAAGACGATAAACTGACCTTATCTTCAATTGTCTTTTAAATTCCACATGAGATTTTATTAATCGAACGGCAATTTTTATCGATGAAAACTAAATCAAATTACTGTCAAAATCTTATAATCAAAATAGAATCGATGTTTTTTCTTTGTTGCACAATAAATTTAATCATTGTTATTGTTTTTTCTCGATCAAATTTTACTAAAATCATCGATGTTTTACTTCGAATAACAAATATTTTTCTCTTGTCATGCAGCACATCTCATTTTTGAAATATTTCACTAATTGATACACAACACATGTTCGATAATGATTCAGTTTTCAATGTATCAGATATTGCCGGAAATATTCGCAGTTGAAAAAGAATCAGTAAAAATTCATTTATGGATAGTTCGAAACAATTCTCAAACAATCTATCTGATGTAAAACTTGACGTGGAATATGGATGAAAAGCCAGATTTGTGCTACAACTACGAGGAACCAAGTTAAAGATTAAGACTGCATTGATAAAACATTCGAACTGATCGTTCTCTCTTGAAACGATGCATCACAACTAAGTTATAAGTAGTGGTAAGTTAATCTTTAACAAGTTTTATGACGTTAAGATCTTGGTAACAAGATAAGAAGCCGATGCTGATAGACACACTTAAAAACTGTTCAGTATCAATAAGAAATTTATTTAATAAAATGATTCATACGAAGGAGAAATGTTGTTAAATAAAGATCAATAACTGATTAATGATCTCGTCACTGAAATGCTTTGACAACAACAAAAAATTTCTTTTTCTTGTCATATGATTAAATGATTTCATCAACAAATTCTTCAATATTTTTTCATTCATAAAGAGAATTATTTTTTTATTTTTCAATTTCGATCATCATGTCATATCGACAAATCATCAAATCAATAAAATTCAATTAAAAAAAAATTAACAACGTAATGAATATTAAATTGACCATTGTTTTTATATAAAACAAATTGTTCGATATAATTTTCAAGAAAAAAACAAAAGAAATCAAAATTATAGATCGAAAGAATATCTACGATTTACCAAAAAAACTCTGAATCGCTGAATTAATTCTTAGATAGTATTCATATTTGTGAATAATCAAACAATTGAGATCAATTCTAATGATCAAGTTGAGACTTCGGTTTAGAGATTTCTTAATATAAGATAAATCATCATTGAATACCACTTTAGTACGCATAATATACTATAGAAACAAGAACACTCGCAAACATTTCTAATTAATCTTTTTTGGTCACAATAAATGCAAAACATTCGCATTTTTCTCGCGACAATCATATAATATACTCTAGATTGTGACCGATAACAGCATTGCTGAAATGAAATGTAAGAAGATTAATATTTGGCAGATTTTCAATGAAAAATATGAACACAAAACCATAGAAAAATAAGAATAGTCGAAGTTTATTCTTGTTTATCTGCATACACTCTAGTTTGTCTCTTTCTATCAACCTACTTCGGTGAGAATAGAAAGTATAAATCAACTAGAATAGTTTCTGATATTTTTTTCCCGATTATTGTTAGCAATATGAGCAGCAAGCTCATTTACAGTATCGTAAAACGAGAGGGAGAGAACTGGAGATAATTTATTCATAGCTGACGTCCCTGTTGATATTAGATTTTTTGTTTCCTTTTGCTGTTGAAATTCTTTTCCCATATCAGTAGTGTAAATAATCATTGAGGCCTCCTCTTCCTTTAAAAAAAAGTCGATTGTCATCAAGAAAATGAAAATTGGGATAAATGAGAAGATAGTCCAAGGTGCGATCTCTCATAAACAACATGAGATTTTATTCAATATACCATTTTTCTAAAATTTTAGATGATATCCGTCATTCTCTGCTTGAAAAAGCATATTAAGATGCAACGTATGATTGAGTCCTTTGTTTTTTTAACTAAGCATTGTTTTTATTATATAAAAGATTACTTTCATAATACCACGTTTTTATGAGCTTCTCGAGAAGTTGAAATTTTTATACTGTTTCTCAGCTTAAAACGTACGAAAAAAAAGCACTCTAATGCCCTGCATCTTAATATGCTCTTTCAAACAGAAAAAACTTAAATTGATAGAATGAAAACTGATAGAAAATTCAGGATTGTCCAATGAGTTATTTTCGAATCTTGTTTGTTGAATACTTCCCAAAAGCATCATACTATAAGAATGAAAGTTATAGCACAGCTTCCTTATCACAGTACCAACATATTTTGGATTTGTGCTGCTTGAATATATCTGATCTAAGATCGATTTTTAATGGATAGATAATAAGACACAAAAATTTATGAGAAACATAAAAAATTTCGCAGTATTTACGAAAGCTTCTCATGAATGCGAAAATAAGTTAACCAGAAATTACGAATTTTTTTTCAAAATTATTACATAACTTCCGAGTGATTTGTGAAATTATTTAGCTACCAGAAATCTATTTTCAAGTAATTTTGATAATTACTACTCTTTAAACAGAAAATAACAAGAAACTATATAAGAATCATTAAAAATCTTCTTACAATGTCGATACATGTAAAACGAATTCATATTCAATGTCAACTTATTTCGACAAATAATTGTAAAATTACTAGGTAATGTCCGTAAATATAGAAGCTATTGAATTTCTCACACAAAAATATCACTGTATTTTAATACCAGAAGGAACACCCCCACATTCTAGAATGTTATAAATTTTAGACATTTTTGAGAAATTTCGAAACTTTCTAATATTCGAACAATTAATGTCTTCATCTAAATGATACAGTAGATTGATATGTTAATAAAATCAATATTAAGCAATTTCTCAAATGACCAATATGTTTTAAGGTAAGTTCTTGTAGACTCATTACATAGTAATTTATCTATCTTATGAAGTTTGGTAATAAGTATTGAAATTCGATCGATGATTCTCATGAATTTTCGTTTTCCTAGCCAACATGTGTGTCCAAATTTCTGAATTGTATTCCTTTTTCGCGATATTTTAAGTTTGAAAATAGTTAGAAATTTTCGTTTTTCTCAAGTGATGATTATCGATACTATCTAGGAATTGCTCAGTAGTATTCTAGAAATCTCCATTTGCTATAGGAGTAATCAATCGAATTTCTTAGACATTTTCTTCTCTTATCTTGATAACTTTATTAGATTTTCGGGCAACTGAAATATTTTCGAAAAGACGGTGTCTACTTCTTCACTAGAAAGTATAGTACCTTCCGAACTTTCCTTCTGATATGGTTTTTCTGTAGAAGCAGTTTAATTTTAAACTTGCATATTGGTATCCATTTTCGTTTTTCGAAAATTATATTTTATCAATTCGACTATGATAAAAGGAATGAAAAAACATATATTGTTTGTTTTA